CTACTCCCAGTGCTAAAAGCAGGAGTAGTTTATTTAGAGCAACTGGTTATATACACTGATATTTAAACTGGTAATTTTCCCCTAAACCCTTGTCCACAGTTGACCTGTGTCATGCGCTACTATAGTATTGTAGTCCTGTAGTGCTTTCTCTGGGAATTGTTTCTTGATTGTTATTTCCGAATTTACTCCCAAACTCCATGTTTGCAGTTAGATGCTAGAAGAGGAAGGAAAAGCCTTCGCACCGGCTGTGAAAAACAAATCTGTATTTTTACCTTTCAAGAAAACAATCAAGGCAATCTTTCTAAAACCTCCCAGGTGGGCACACTGTTTACAGGCTTCAGGGTGTCAGACTGCACAAGTGGCCAGGTAGTTCCTGAGGAAGGCGAGGCGTGCTCTGTGCTAGGACATTGCTATTGAACAGCAAACACCATGAGGTAAAACAACACCATCCTAACAGGAATCTTTCTCCACGTATGCCACAGTGATTTGTACATTACTGAAGAATTACTTTAATCAACAAGGACAGTAAGTAACATTTAAGCAGCAGGAAAGTGAAGAAAGGTGCACTTGTGTGCAGATTATTTTGGGCATGCTCGAGTCTCAAGTTTCCTTTTCTGAATAGACCTTTCCATCCTGTTGTTGGGTGACATCTTCAGTTTCTCTAGGTCTGGGTGCTCACGGCGAGGTATCTACATCCACAGCCTTCATGTTCATGGCATTTTTTTTTGTGACCTCCTGTATTACAGGAACTGCTGCTTGGCCAAGTTGGAGTGACTAATAATAACCACCAATGACTAATAATGACGCCAGATCATTTATTTTATTTTTCTGAACTTTTCTGTTCAGAAGGACTGAACATTTTTTTTCAGCCCTGGAGTACTTTCCTGATCTAGCTGTGATTGCTTTACAGGGAAAATTAAACCTCAGGGCACAAGGCATGCTTGCACTCTCCTAAAACTGAAGTATGAGAAGAAAACAGTATCTTTGAGTTTCAGTGTACATTTATTGATGCACTTCTATGCTAAAGTCAAAGTGTAGTCAAGATGACTGAATTTAAAAGCATTTCTTCTGAATGTCTGGATTCGACCTTATTCAAGCGCTTTATTGTGCAATGATCCTTTTTTAACACAGGGTAGGTGTGAAGTGCCATGAACCTGTAACCCAAAGACTTGCTAGCTTATCTTACTCACTCAGCTCTGTTCTCCAGGTAACCTGGAAGTGTAATTTGTAAATTCTTTAGAGCCAAGGCCTAGTCATATTTCTACATTTGACATTCCACATGTGCTCTAAAACTTGTAAGAATCCAGAAACAGAACAATTCTGAAGTAGGCACATTAATTGGAAAAAACCTTAAGTATTCTCCACAGAAAATTTGAAATTAGCAGAATATATTGTTCACCCTTTTGATAATAACTGGTTCAATCAACATACCAGCAGGGAACACATCCTGATGTTAAGTGAGTTTAGACCGAAGGCCAGTATGTTTACAAATACCATCAGCCAATGTAAACCATCGAAGTACAACATACACTGGAGGATAGGGAGTAACTCAGAGATTTGCTTTTGACATAGTCATATGATCTTAAGATAAAACATTTTTTAAAAAATTACATGCATTATATGTATCCTCATTGTTGAGTATTTTGCTAAAACTCAACAATTTGATTTTACTCCAGAGGGAGTTTTGCTTTAGAAAGTGGCTTGTGAAAATTAAGAAATCAAAATGGATTTCTAGAAACAACCAATGTTTTCTCTTAGTTCTTTATATCATGCTGTATTTTTCCTCTACTTATTTTAATAATTAATGTTCTTAAATTATAATGTTAAGAATTATCTTACACTAAACAAACTGACCATAAACAGGGTTGTTATGGAAATATAAGTACAATTCTGTAAATGAGTTACATTCTGCAATGACTTGTATTCACTCTGGGCACCCTTTCGGCATATATTACATAAATTTTGGGCTCTTCCAAAATATGTAACATATTAATCTTTATTCCATATAACACTCATAAGCATAGTTAGCATTTGTTTTTCAAAATTTATTTTTATTTATTTTTTCTAACATTAAAAAAAACAGAAAAACTCATAATCCTTAAACTTAACTGACAGAATGGCAACAGGCATAAAGATTTACATAAATTGCATTGAGTAATGCTGATAAACAGCTTGCAAATAGCATAAGGTCACTTTAGCTCTAAAAAGAACTAAAACATCTAAACTACTATGGATTCCTTACAAAACAAAGTCAATCTAAACATTTATGTAAACAGGTCTTTCAGTCTAAGATAGCAGGTTTGAGAAATTATTTTAAGACTGTTCTGTAAAACCTTTTAGTGAAGACGAACAAGAAATCAACTGAAAATTAACCAGAGTCTGATTCTTTAAAGCTGAGACAAACCTTCCCTGGCCTTCTAAGTGCTCCTTCCTGGCTGTACTTTCTAAATAACTTATTCTGAAAATATTTCTTAACTGTATTTTAATTCCCAATCAGTCATTCCATTTTTTATTTTACTACAGATAAAACATTCATTGTAAAATAAGTGTGACTGTTTCTCTTTTCCTGTGAACTCAACACAAAACCTTTTGCTTAGGAATAGAACTTGAAATCACATTTTTGGTAACTGGCTGACAAAACCAGGTATTGCTGATTGCACAAACCCAGATACAAATGAGCAATGAGACTAAAAACCTCCTGATACACAAGACCCAGATGAACTGATTTTTCCAAAAGAAAACCAGTCAACTTGAAGGCAGCAAGTCACTGATAAACAAAAGAAACTAAAAAGCAAAAAAGAACATTATAAACCTCTTAACAATTCACAGAATGATATGTCAGCTATTATTTTCCTTTCCAAAGTAAAAACAATTTTCCAAAATATGAGCAGCAAAAGGCACCCTTGCTTTAAAGCCAGAGAAGGAGAAAAGCACACGCTGGCTGAGCACGCTTACTTTGGCAATGCAGAAGTGTCTTGCTTGCTTGTGTCCTTTGTTATTATTTGATGATGTGAGTTTTGCTGTGGTATTTTCCTGCCAGTCCCCACCTTTGCTCCTATTAGCCACCTGCTACTGACAGATCCCACCACCATAAATAAGGGTATCTCCCAAATGCACGGCACAAACCCACCCATCTCATTTCTTGTTGTCCACACAACTCTCTGAGGTCAGTTGGAGAGGGAGAGGCTCATACTGAGTCTTCTTTCTTTCTGACAGCTTCTTGGGGAAGTAAAGGAATTGTTGGTGGCCACTGCTACAAGATTTTCTAGATAGGCAATGCCCACATAGCTCTTTCTTGATACCCACATGCTGTCGTTGTGGTGGAAGACGCTGGGTGCATGCTCACAGACAAGAATTCAAGCATTTGCTCTTCAACACAATTTGCATTCAACCTGCAAGAGAAGGCCCTGGTGGGAGCAGCAGCAGCGGCCAGGCCACGCTGCTGCTTTCCTGCCTTCCTAATCTACTGCCTTGGGTGAGGACACTGGACTGGAGCCTGTGAAGATTTCACCTCATTACAGGCTGGCCTAAGGACTACTGACATAGCAACTACATTACTGGTAACCTCTGTACAACTTAGAGAGGGTCTTCATGGCTTCTTAATGCAGTCCCTCCTGTCTTCCATCTGAGTGCTGTTCTGATATTTGTACATTATGTAAAGTTCTGCTCCTCTTAAAACCACCCTCACCTGCACCAAAAAAGAAATTACAACAAAACAACTTTGAGAATAACATACTTAGTGTCATGCTTAAAAGGGGGGATATTCCTTCAGAGCAGTGAGATCTTTTTGTTGTTTTAATTGAAACATTCTCCCAATTGATCTTTTGAGTCTAGTATCAAAAAAAAAAAAAAGTTTTGAAAGGCTAAGCTTTCACCCTACCCTAGACAGATCAGAAAAATGGGAAGGGGAATGAGAAAGAACATCAAGCTCTTTATAATAAATTAGTCATCTCCTATATTTTCAGGAAGACTGACCTGATCCTGGAGATACAAGTGGCTAATGCCTTAAGAAAAGACAACATGTAACATGAATGCCTTAAGAAAAGACAACATGTAACATGTCTGTCTGTGCACAGACAGAAGCACTCTGTTATGGCTGAAAAACGTTCATCTATAATTGCTAATTACTATTTTTGATCTGTTTCTTGGTTTACTGCTTAAAGTCTTATGTATAATTATTTATATTTTGGAGTAAAACCCATTATTTTTATTAACTTTTTTTTCCCCTGGTCCTATTCTCCCCTGCCCTCAACACTCTGGTACAGCTTTGAGTTCCTGAGATACTGCAGCTTTCCCTGTCACACCTTTATTAAGATAAAGTAGCTATTTGATAAGCATTCACCTTTTGCAATACAATTAAAGCAAAATAGTTATGTCTAAAATTGTATCTACTATTGTTTATGATAGAATGAGGGATTTAAATTTATTCTGTTTGTTGAAGAGGTCTCAAAAACTACGCACATTCATAGATCAATGCATAACTTAAAGCCTGTATAAACAGGCTTGTATTTCCAGTTTAATCTTGTCATCATGAAGGCTGGCAAAACCAGACAACCACACAAGCTCCAGGAACTAGCACACAAGTGCTCACAGTAATGAGGACACATGTGAGTTTTGCTCTTCGATTTAGGATAGCTCATGGATTTCACATGGATTGTGCCAGTGTTTTAGGCGGTCCTTGCCAGGACAGAACTGCTGTGTTGGTGGCTGACTGAGATGATGTCCACTCTTCCAACAGGAGAGATTACGGCTGCATCACAGCGGCCAGTGACCACGATTAAATCCCACCTATCCCACATGCTACGGTGCAGGGTGAGAGTCCACAGAGGAGTAAGCAATGCTTCCCCAGAACAACAGTGTTTCTTACAGAGGTCAAAAGTGATCACATTTCTGTAGAACAACTGATTGCACTAGAAAACTGTAAAATTATAGCAGTAGAAATTGGTTTCATTAAAGCTTAACTCTTGTAAAAATGATTAATTATGATTCAGCTAAAACAAGACGGACAAAACACCCAAGTAACAACATTTATAGAAATGGCACAAAGGACTGTTTTAGAAAGGACTTTTCCCAGTTTGCTTCCAGACTTCTTTTGCTCCTTTAATGCTTTCTCTTTTCACACATTTCCAGTAACCTTGAATGCCTTGCTGTTGTGGTACCTGTAATAAAGTTGCAGTGTGTTCAGCATTTACACAAAAACAGACTCTTACAGACTGTGTAAATATTCATAGGATACATAATGTAATGCTGCTGCTCCCATAACTCATAGGAACGAGTAGCAGCAGTCCTCCCACATTTGTAAGTACTACGGAATCTTCAGTTTACAGTGTAAGTTCTTTCTATCCATGAACTTCATCTGCATTTCTACAAGTGTTAACAAGCTGCAAATTCTCCATAATAATCATCTGTTGTATTTTAAAGTATGATAAATATATAACTGCAAATGCCAACTTATTACCCTCAAACCTCGATGAATTCGGTTCTTGAGGACTCCAAGAAACTCCCCATGGCTGAGGCAATCATCCCCGTCTAGATCAAAGATCTTGAAGATGGTATCCAGAACATTATCTGAGAGCTCCTGTCCTGTTGCCACCTTCACTGCTCGCTTGAACTCAGCTGTTAAAGACATAAGATTACGTTGTATGTGACTGTGAACTGAAAATATTGTAAATGTACTGTAAACCTAAAAATAACATGATTCTGTACAACTTACAATGTCTCCTGGCATCTTAACTAGAGCATTTGGAATGTGCAAACTAGTAAACTAGATCAGAAAGCCTCAAGCCAGATTTACTTGAGCTTGCTCCTTACTTCACAATATAATCTTTATTACCTTTATTATAAATTTTTAAACTTCATTACTCATTTTCACACAACAGTGAAAGTGATCAGTAGAAAATAGCTGCCATGTTAAAAAAGTACTTAGTATTGGTTGACATACACCTGTGCATACAGAGTAGAAAGCATTTGCCCTGCTACGACCTCATAAAAACACAGCCGTTTTATCTTGAACCTGTTTCATGTCAGACAACTCCGTAAGAACAGTCTGCTCCTCAGAGCACAGTGACCACTCTGCACTCAATCCCCTCAGAGATTCTGTAGAAACACGCACCATCAGACAGATACTCTGAGCACTGATTACAGCACAGGGTTTCATGTACTCGCAGTCCTGTTTTTTAAAGAGGTGTTAAGAAGTAGGTTAACTCCTCCTAGATTTATGGGGGAAGAGTTTATAAGGACTTAAAGCAGAAATAGTTGTCATACCTCACTGGAGATCTACTTTCCAGCTTCTTGTCCTCCTCTTCTTACCCTATCATATGCATTGCAGTAACACCTAATATCCCCACTTTGGGGCTTATGGTATAAAGAATTTCAAGATCTGACTCAAATATAGATAAAGAGACAGGCACTGGGGTTGAAATGATTATTATAGCAAGCACAATCACAGCACATAAATTTGATGCATTTTTGTAGGCATCATGGAAATATGAATTTCAAGGAGGGACTAGAGCTTACTACAGTACAGTAGAAATGTAGATTGTTACAAGAAATTGTCAAACTAAATCATATATAGTGTATAATGTATAAATAAAGTTGCTCTATTTTCACAGACAAATGCTGTTTATAAACACTGATATAAATATGATTAGTTCTGGGCACTTGGAGGAAAGAGCACTCTTGGCGTAGTTCTCATCATTGCTCCTTTGAGGAATTCATGTATAAATGTAGTTGATTTATTCACATTTGGCTCACATATAATTAGGTGGAACATCTTTCTCTAAGAGGATATACCACAAATTAAAAGTGTGATGAAATACGAGATGAAGAGTCTTAATTTTGCCTTTAGAAACATGTAAGCTGTTTTAGCTCTTTAGACTAAATATAAATCCGAAGACGGCACTACAGTTTTCTTGAATAGAGTAGGAAGGAAAAAGACCTTCCAGAATTGTGAAGCATACTAATTTTCAAATCAAAAAGGCTCATCTTATCAGAGAGAAAACATGAGCTGTGAATTTAGAATTGAAAAAATATGCATAGGAATAATGGGAAGTGCTAAAGGACAACCTGTTTTTAAAAAATATTCATATGCCTGTGACTACACACGTGCACACATGCAAAACAGCTGAAGAACTTTGATGAATGAATTGTTAAACATGTATACACGTTAACATTCACGGGTTACCTCAGACTGTTTGGTTAGCAATGAGCTTTTCTTACTAAATTTTACCCAAGCGAACACCAATCACTGGCTCCATCATCCTCTAGGTGACACTGCTTGAGTAGGGACTAGATGATCTTCAGAGGTCCCTTCCCACCTCAACCGTTCTGTGATTCTGTGGTTCTACGATCCTTGGCACTCTAAAAATGCATTGCTTACGTGAAGGGGAGCTAAATACTCATATATCCCATGGTGACTATCGCTTTGCCATTACTTCATCCCCTTTTCTTCCTGCTTGTGTATCTTGTATCCCCCTGCAGAAGGAAGATGCTGACAAACGAGGCAGAGGAGGGCCAGGAAGCCAGCTGGGGACAGGCAGATGTGGCGGAAGAAGAGACGCTGAGGACAACAGAAGGACAAGGGGGGGATCTACTAGCAGCCTTCAGGTGCCTAAGAGGCTTATGGAGAAGACAGAGGCAATCACAGAGGTGCACAGAGGTAAGAGGCAATCGACACAAGCTGCTGCAACGTAATCTGATTGAAAACAGAGAAAAAATCCTCACTAGGAGAATGGCAAGAGCAAGCCATAGAACAGGCTGCCCAGAGAGGCTGTGCAAACTGAAAACTGAATTAACTGGTGGTGGAAATTACAGCATGGATGGTAAAAGCACATGGTTTTCAAGTATTTCTTTCTCAAGAATACTGAATTATCCTCCTGTCTTCATCTACATGATTTCTTTCCTTTTTTTTTTTTAAAGATAAGCCAGTCAAATATTTATGTCAATAAATGTTGAAGTTTCATCAGCTTTCCCCAGCAACTTTTTATGCTACTATTTCCAAAAAACTTACGAGGGCTGTCTTTCAAGTATAGCAGGTAGATAACAACCTCAGAACTAGAACAAAAAGTAATTTTATGTTCTTGCCTTGCTCCTATCTATCAGCAATTACCTGCAACTTCTCTCCCCTAAATCTTTAAGATGTTACTACATTTTTTAAAAAAATAAGTATGATTGTGTAATACTACATAAACACATGGAGATGACAGTATGGAGAAATATATAAAACTTATTAAGTTGCTAGAAACCCCTCAAAAGAACAGTTCTATGCTGTTAGTGTCCTCAGAAAATTAGTTTTATTAGTAGAAAAAGTTTTATCATCAACTGTTATAAGAACATGCATTCTTCCATGAAAACCTTCAGTAGGATTTCCTGATTTATAATTTGGTCTGATGCAAATGGTTTGGTGAATGAGATATTATACAGCTCACTAGAACTTACAAATTAAAACATTTTGGGAAAGGTACATCATTATTTTTCATCTAATAGAATTAATTTGGAAGAATAGGATCCCATATTTTAAAATTTCATAATGCTACTTATAGATAAGTTATTTATATAAATTCTATAACAGAAATATATTCCCTCTTAAAAATACACATACGAAACTTTGCAGCACTTACCCCGTTTAACAGGACGATTAGCTACAGTAAACATCTTCATGGCAATAGAGAAGTCTTCCAGGTTGTTTGTAAACTTGCAAAAAGTCTTGAATTCCTCCAAACTGATATTCTAGAGTATTACAGAATTCAGATGATATATAGTGAATAATGTATTAAAATCTTAGTAAATCTATTTCCTCAAAACTAGTTGGACTTAATACTTAGGTGTGAATCTGCTTATTCATCTTCAATGTTTGTATTTCTCAGTTGAGAATTTATCACTCAAAATCATTATGAAAAAGCTGCAATAATTCATTCCAAAACTAATTACACTTTTGTATATTCATACTCAAGTGAAAACCTGTACTTAAAAAACGATGAAGCAAAACAAATCATATTTATGTACCAACCTCGCCTGCATGAAATCTGTCTTTCACATTTTGCCAGTAAATCTCATTGTTTTCCTCGTCAGTGAAATACAGCAACCATTCTGCAAAGTCTTCTTTCCTCATGACGTTCAGGCCCTTTGAAAACTGTATGAATTCCATTTCTTGCACTTCTGTTTGCAGATTTTCCATGAATCTAAGTGGAAGCAAACATCACCCAACAGTTGCTACCTGCACCACATTATCAGTATTCCTGCCTTAGCTACTAAATGTAGCAGACACTAACACCTAATCACAGATACTACCCACATTTCAAAGAGGTTGTTGATGTGCATTTAAAAAGGGTTGCAAAGGTTGTTGATGTAATTTTACCTGTTGGTACTGCTTTCTTGCCACTGCTGCATTTTGGTCGTTGCACCAGTAGGGTGCTCTCCAAGTCTACGTACACAACTTGCTGCTGCTAAGATATTTTACAAATGCACCCAGTATATAGTTTTTGCATATGTAAAAAAAAAAAGGTTTAAAAATGTGCAGATGATTAGATAAAACTACTGAAGAGGCAGTACTGAAATTAATGAATGAACGAATGAAAAAGGACACAAGAAGTAAGGGCCTGACATGATTTATGAAATTTCACATTAGCCAGGGAAGAATGAAAAGGTTGGAAAACGTGGAGAAAGATGGGGCTCTAATAAACACAAGCAACATAAGCTCAAACTAGAACAGTGACAGAAGGAAAACTGAAATAATCAATACTGGAAAAGATGACTAAAAGCCTCAAAGATTATATCTGCAAAGACGGGTTTGGCAACCAGGTCTGCACTCAGGAGAGACTGGATTAGAGAGGATTACAGTTGACACGGTCAGAGTTTGGGAGAGAGCAGAAAATGCTGTCACAGGGTCTGGGAAGGTAACGAGAATTGCTTGAAAAAGGGATGTGTGAGGATCAAGGTTTTTAGGATACATCTTTTTGTTTTAAGGAGAAAAAAGAGAGTAACACATGAAACAAGTAACAACCTGCAGGCACAGAAGCTATCACTACAAGCGCAGTTGTGGCTCTGAGTTTTCTCAGTTTGCTTTGCATGGCTACTATCCTGTCTTCTGGCCTGACACAAATTTGGAGAGAGAAAAATAAAAAAAATCCACAGTGGTGTGTGTGAACTGTTTGACAATTCTTACCTTAGAAATGGCACAATGGAAAAATAAGTGATATTTTTCTTTAATGGAAGAAAAGGCTAAACGCAGACTGATGCCTGCCAGGGTGTTCTCACTACAGCAGCCACTGCAGTGACACAAGGCGATTAGTTGCAGGAGAGGACAGCTGAGTGTCCCTGCAGCAAAAAGGAGGGGAGGCTCATTTGCTTGCCAGTATTTGCATGGCCTCTCTGGATTTGAATTCTTTTCGCTGAAATTAAGGCCTTTTAGTCTGTGCAGCTATCTTTAGCTCTTTAATGAGATCACTTGGACAATTAGTAGCTTGAAGCTCTGTGCAGTCTGCAAGGGGTTCGCAGCAGACTGCTGCTGCAGCAGCAGCTCTCTCCTCTTTTCTTCCATGATGAGTAGAGCTGCGCATACAAGTGAAGGGCTGAGCAAATGCTTCGTTGCTCAGGGCACGCGGGTAAAGGAGAGCCTCACAGTGCAAGTGATGTTAAGTGGCTACAGTTTCATGACTGCAGTGCCGAGGAAGGGGATGGTGCACTCTCTCATTTTATATGAAGATACCTGGCCCAGTAAAGTGGATCTACAGGACTTCCACAATACAGTCAGTCACTGAGGCACATTCCTCCACAATCCACCTTAGGACTTGGCTCCCTTTCAAGCCCCCTTACTCCCTCTCACAAGGAGAAGGCGCTTGCTGGGCAGATGGGAAGGAGAGCCCATTGCCATACAGAGCCCCCAGGGCTTCCCGACAGCTTGCAAACCACACTCAACTTTTCAGAGGCAGGTGGAAGAGCTACAGGGTGAGGGCTGCATTTGCAGTGTGTGTGGCAAGGTCTGGGGAAGAGGGAGGACCCGGCACATGTCAGGTCGACAACTGCATCTTCCACTGCAGGCTGCAGCCCACGGTGCCTGGGCTGAGGAAGGAACTGCTGCTGAAAGGGCCATCGCTGTCAGAAATTGTGCATCCAGGGACACAGGACCCAGGTGGCTCATGTAGCCCCACGTATCAGCCAGTGGAAAGGTGCAACAACCCAGAAAGGAAAGGGAAGGGTTTGGCTGTGGCATTTCTAATGTGCAAGGGCTTCTGCAGCCTCTTCCAGTCTGCCAGAGGATGAAGTGCTACATTTCCCCTTTCTCAGGCCTGGGTTCTTGCCCGTTCTTGTTGCCTCAAGGCAATGACACCGCATACCTCCCACTGCCTGATAATCACACATCCTACTTTACTTACTTCTTATTTACGCCCAAGAAGAATCCAGTGGGTATTTCATTTCACCATGCAGGCTTGCTCCTGGCAAGGTGGAACGGGAAGATCTCATACAGTACTAAATGCCCTTGGAGCAGAAGCTGAACTGTGCAATTTAAGGTTCAGATGTGAGTCTCCCATATTACAAAAAATACAATATTATGAACCATCACATCAGAATTCTAGGTCATTTTTATTCCCAGATGTGAGAGTTAAAAATCCTAATGATTTTGTTAGATAGTTATTAAAAGTTATGTTTAATAACTTTCTAGTTAGAAAATAAAACTTGATATTTATATGCCAGACACTACTACAGATATTTGCCTTTGTACCTTCTGAATCAGTGTGATGAGTTTCTGCTAAAAAACCCTTGAAATTTCTTCAGATATTGGGCAAAACAAGAAGAGAAATGAAACTCCTGCTCTCTTGAGGTCAACAGGAGCTTGGCCGTAGGAGCTGAGGTCCAGTGGTACAGAACGTGAAACAGGGAAGAGGATTCTGACCCCAAATGTGCTCTACAACTCCACAGTAATTACAGCGGGAACACTCTAACCCTACAGTAGCTGACAATAAAAGAAAGTCCTAAGAGGACGTACAAAGTTTACAAAAAAAAAAAAAGGGCAAATTCTTAATTTTTAAGATAGTAAAAAGGGAACAGACAGCACTTTAAGATAGCCTGCTTTATCCACACTCTTTAAAACACCCATGTTGAAGGCTAACAGCCAAATTTGTTATCCTGTTACAACGGCCCCCAGAAACCTTATCAGAATTTAAGTCCTCATTTTGCAATGTGCTTTGCAAACCTATAGAAAGAGGGCATCTCTCAAGAGTTTTTGGCAACTCACCTCTCAGAGAAGTGAAAATGTAATAAAAGTGGGGACACCTCAGGAATAGAGTTACTCTCCTCCAACCCAAGATGCAGAAACGAAGCACTAGCTGTGTATATTCTTTACGGCATGCAAAGCAGCAGAAGGGAGCACCAAAGGAAAGGCTAGGGGAAGTCCCCCCCTACACTTCTTGACCCGTACTGAAAGTTTGCACAGAGCTTTAATACTCAGATATGGAACTGGCCAGTGCTTGTGGCACCATGTGTAGGCAGGAAAAGTAACAACAATTTTGCTGTGGATGCATCACTCCCGCATCTGAGCTGAGCTGAGGGTCCTCTTTGGACACTGGAGACCTGCTGAAGATCAGTCCTCTCTGCAGGAAAGGTCTCCTTCAACCTAGCTTCAAGGCTGCCTCTTTGCAAATCTGACTTTACAAACCAGAATGTAGAAAATCTAACACGGACTTGACCATAAGCTTTACAGAACTTCACATGCATCTCATAAATTCATTTTGCAAGCTGCAAGCCAGCTCATGAATCTCACCCTTTTCAGAATTACAGCAAAAAAGCACTTTGATTTAATGTTCTCAGAATTTTCCAGCTCAAACATAACAAAATTACTCACTTCCACTTATAAACATTCTGTAGAAACTAATCAAGCTTTTACTGTGGTAGGTACATAGAAAAGGAAGAAATGGAGATTCTTCTTAACCTTGTTACTATTTGGGAAATGTTCAAATTCATCTGCGATATGAATATATCATCACAAAGCCAGATTTTGCTCCCAGCTCTTCCAATTCCTCACTGTCTGATACTGGCTACACGTGAAGTAATCTCTAAGTGCACTGGGGGGTTATGTACATACATCTACTCGTATCTGTGTGTATGTATATGTACATACAGACAAGTAAGGGGACGACCATAAATCTCTTTGCAAAGCATTTCTAAATCCCTTGATAAAAATCACTGCAAATGTATAAGCTATCACCACAACAGAAGTACTGCTGCTTCATGAGGCTTCTTGGAAGGGATTCTGCATTTGTGCATCAGCATAAACATGGAAAAGCACCGAATTTCAGTACTAGCAGTGTGGTCTCTTCCCAGTCATTCTGGTTTCTTACATGAAAGGCTTCAAATGAAATGGAACCAGAAATTTCAAAATACTGAAAGACCAGAACAGGACAGGTAAATAAAAGGCTCCTATGGTTACAGAACTTATGGTCATTTGAGTTAAAGCAGAAAACAAAGAGGAAACAATGAATAAAGAACATTTCTGGTGTATAATTCTATTAATGTATATGAAGTTTTAAAGCAAACAAATCAGGTAAGAAAATACTGTGAAACAGATCTGAGAGGTGCCCAATTTTTAACCATACCAGGAAATAATCTTTGTAAGCCATTTGCAAACCAGAAAAAATACAGCCATTACAGGGATTTCTTTTTGTACTTTTCTTTCCATACTCCTCACTTCTTTCTTTCATTTTTTTCCTTCCCTTCAAGTGGATTGTGAGAGACTTAAGCTTGTTTGGGGACAGGCAGAAAAAAAAATTAACTCTTTTGGGAGTAAATTACTGTCTCCTATTTATTTGGGATTAGACATGCTTAAATAAGATCAGTAAGGGACTTTTTCAGAAAAAAATGTGGCTGTCAAGAAGAAATACTCGCTAATACTATTAAAACAAAATAATTTTCTGCCCAGAAAAAAGAACACATACAGCATTACTAAAACTCAAAGTACAACTGTAACACTGTTGGAAGGAAAATACGGTTTCTATGTCTCAAAAAATAGGGACAACTACCATGCACAAAAGAAAGTCTGGGATTCCAATGACTTTCTGGCTGACTCTATGGCTGCAATGTAAAACTTGGTGATGATTGTCTGAAACTGAATTTTTCTTGGGTCTTCTGAGAAGAAAGTGTGACCTGCTTACAGCTCCCTGTATTATTGCTGTTTTATCGCATCTTTACTCTTGTAGAAGAACAAGCTTTCCCGTTGTGTTTGTCTCAGCACCACCTTTACTAGTAACATATGTCAATTTACTCCAGAATAATTCCAATTAACATCACCTAATTTTTGCCAGGGAAACTGGCTGTTGCTTTTGAAGTTCTGAATGGTGACAGTAGGGACAACGCATCTGGCTAGAAATCACGTAGCGCTTCTGAGCGGAACATGTGTTCCTGAATCAAGATTATGATATTAAGCTTTAGGACCTCTGAAACCGCCTTGTTCCTACAGGAAAGGAGTGGGATGGTGCTCCTTTGATTGTTTCTACAGCTTTGAAGCAGGCTCAGGTGAAGCTGCGGAAAGAGGCAGAGATCCTGCCACTAGACACCTGCAGCTCAGCAGAGACAGACAAGGATGTGGGAACCATCTGCGATGACTTCCAAGAACCACATGCCAGATGGAGATGGTCAGAGCACTACGTACTTACACATTTTCCCTCTTTTCAGTCAATGTGTCACCTGTCTTTGAGGCTATGGGAAGGAGGCAGGAGAGCTGGCTTAGAGCAGCTCTGCATTGCCTGAAGAGCTGAAGATGGTTTTTGTCATCTTCGTGCCATCAGAACGTACAGAAAGCAGAAAACGGCAAATTGTTTGCTCTGTTATATTGTTCCTCTAATATTTTTTAAGTCATTGGACAGTGGGTTAAAAGAGTTGGACATCATTGGTGTACATGAAGATACAGATGATTACACATTCACAAAAGCATATTTTAAAAGTCAGCCAGAGAAACTGAAAAGGGAGCATGAGTAAAATATATGTAAGTAATGAGGTGAGAACATCAGTTTCTGCTTTCTGAATTCCCTTATAAGTACAATGAATTTCCACAAAGAAAGCATTCCTGGGATTTTTTTTTAAAGTTTTGAGGACTCTACAGCACAGTGCTATCTGTATATTTAAGTAATGTGACAAGTTTTAGTGTGTCCTAATCAAATTTAATCATCCCTACTTTCTAATAGGTACAATGCTGATCAATGAAAGACTTTCTAAGCAAGAACTTGGAAAATGATAAAAGCATTTACCATCATTATTTTCTGCTTTTGACAATGATCTATGTCTGTACAGCTCATCAGTCATCTCTTGTAAAAACAGCATGGCACTTTGATCAAACAGCCAACAAGAGCTTCCCGTGTAAGGTAAAATGTTATGAGCGGCCCTCAGACAGAAATCACATTTTCTCTGAACAATAGGAACCCAGAAATGATGTGCTTGATTTACTAGCAAATAAAAATCATGTGAAAAGTGATATCTTCACACAGGTTAAAAAGATACCGATCCTTTTATTCACCTTTCTGTGTGTTAAACAAACTTGGCTGTCATGTTGCCACTGACATGGAGTGTATTCGCAGTGATAAAGAGGCACATTCCAACTCCATGAAAAATAACTGCCACTGTTGAAAAATTACCTGCATTAAACCTTACACTTATCCCACAAAATTTAAGAGCAAGACGTGGGAGTTTGATTTTGATTACAGGCTTCTATCTGTGTGGTAGGCAAAGGTCTTTAACCTGCATGTTCTGAATGTATTAGGTACCTAGTTTTATCAATGTCATGCCTCATCGGGTCAACATGGGATTTTATCTAAAACCCGAGGCATTCCAGTTTACACTATATATGCAAACACAACCTTTTACTGGTGCTCTCTGTCTTTTGTTTCATTTAGAGGACCTACGGTATAGAGAAGAGAGCTGTAGGCATCTTAAATGTATTTTACTCATTTAGTTTTCTATTGAGTCGAGGTCTTCAGAAGAAAAAGGTTGTTTATTTGAAGACTGGTATGTGCCTGAGTCAGTGGAGTGGAACGCTCTGTAGTGTCAGGAAAATTGTCACTCTTCCTTTTTTTACTATGGCTTTGCCAAAACCTCTGCAACAATATCCATTTTTAAGAGAGCTGACAGATTCCCCTGCTTCTGAATATAAATTGAAATACACATATTATCCTGACTTACTTTTGCAGAACACAAACAACTGATTTTTTTTGTAGAAAAAGCACTAGTAATGTAGATGGATCTTCTCTTGATGTTGTGTTACAATACAGGTGTCAAGACGCATGCAGGTATTTGGGCACTTAACTGTCATTTATCTCAATGAAAGAGCGTGCATTTGGACTCCCAGGTTGACACGGAAAGATGTGGTGTCTTGAACTGAATTACTCCTTATATCAGACTTAGAACTTCTTATTGACTTCTGATTTTACAAAGCTTACAGTGAAATAGGTTGTATAAGATGGGCTGCCACATGCTTCAGGGAGCAGTGGTCTCTCAGTGCTTCACTGCAGTTTCAGCTGGATACAGTGTTTACCTTCAGGCTTAATTTGAGTTCTGACTTGAGTGCCATGAAGTACCTGCCTGGTGCCCTTGCAAAAGCGGCTCAAAGGATCAAAGAAAAGGCTTGGTTGAAGCCTGCACAGAAGCTGGAATGTGAAGCGAGAAGTTGCCTGTATCCCACCACAAGAGCCAGGGGGAGGGGCAGGGTGTAGGTCCCACATGGTTTTTGTTGATGAGCGGTCCCTGTTTTGGAGATTTGACCAAGAATAAGAAAAATGCTCCTGAGTCATCCTGCCCTGAAGGCTGCCATCGAGTGGCTGGCAAGAAGGGCAGCCTCACGGGAACAGCCGTGTTTGAGCTCACCGTGGTGCCCAGCTGCTCCTGCGGGCAGCAGCCCCCGGGAGCTGAGCTGGCGACGTCCCCAGGCAAAACACCAAGAGCCTCCTGCCCGCGCCCGAACAAACTCCGTGTGAGGCCAGACTAAGCCCTGCGCTCGTGCAAAGCACAGGGAGAAGCAACACGGCTGGTTGATGTTAGACTCGTGTATCTCAAAAAATACCTGAAAAACTCCGAATAGCGAAGCTTTTCCTTTCCTTCTCTTCCGAAGAAATGTACCAGCAGCATGGTATTAACATCAGAGCCTTCCAAATCTGCTCCCTACAAAATGAAAAGCTATGTTTAATTATTATGCACTGAATGTTTATTGCTATATATTCAACACAGATCTTGAAATATTTTGAACTAAAATTTTACAAGACACCACTGTAATTTAATTACCATTTCCAAAGCTAGTGCAAACCTCAGAGTTGAACAATTCCTCCATATGAATGGGAAGCAATGCATTATATGTTCTTCTAATATACGCTTCTCTACAAGGCCTGAATACTACCTTTTGTCTATTTGATTAGAACTTGTGAGATTGCTAGTTATATTTTTAAAAAGATCGACACCTAACTGAATACTGATGTTTAAAAGTCCACATCTTTGTAAAAAGGTGTTTTAATGAGATCTTTCACATTTGTTCTAGTCATTTGCAAACTTTGTTCTGTAACTACATTCATGACTTTACGGAACAAAACCAGAAAGACATATTCCCAGTGTTTTATCATAATATATTTTATATGGCTTCTTTCCAGATTTCTTATTTTTTCCATATTTTATTTAATCTGATAAAAAGTTCTGCAGAAAAAGGATGCACATTATTTCAACGCAGAAATTGTTATCAGCATCTTTAACAAGCCTAAAACCACACATAATGCTGGATATCTGTTTTGTTCTTCTTTCAGCACTAGCATAGTGCATTTCTTTGAACGCAACAAAACACTAAGAAACTTGAAGAGAGGGTTTTTTTGTAAGTCTGGAGGGATTTCAACAAACTCTTCTTATGACATCTAAATAGCCTCTGTGTCTTTTATCTGGCTGAAGAGGTAAGATGAAAGACAAGAGCCTATTCATAAGTTTTAATACTAATGGTTATTTAGCTTTCAGCATCATCAATAACAAGTCCCATTAGTCCACTGTGTGTTTCATGCTTACTGCATATGTGACACAATATTTTATCATTAAAGAGGTAACATTCCTCATTTCTACTGCAAGTCACACTTCACTAAAGGCCAGTGATACGAAGTCAAGTATGAATGAACCTAGAAAAGACGTTTCAAGTTATATGTAAACTGCACTTATTGAACTTTAACTGTAGGCAACAGGCAAGGAATATTTTAATACCCATAAGGTCCATGCTTCTCAAGTTTAAACAGTTGACATTATGAAGACAACTGATACATAAAGATTCCTGTATGCTTATCTGAAAGTCAAAACCAAACTATTCATGACAGAAGGCAAAGTTTCATATGAAGAAACAAAGCAGAATCAATGCATTTCTCATCTGCTTTTTGTGCTTTTGGTTTATATATGTAAATGAAGCTCGAAAAATGCAATAATAAAAAAAAAGCTGAAGTAACTTCTAGAGCTGAGCTCCTGATTACTTGATTTAATGCTTCTAGTAACTCATATTTAACTATTACTCCATATCAAAATTGGTATTGCATTCAAAGCATGCTGAAAAACAAGACTTAAATAATTTTAAAAACTAGGTCTGCAACAGAAAAAACTTTTTCTTTTATTCGGGTTTCTGTAGTTATACGCTAGAAGACATACAAACAATACCTATCTCATCTTATCTAAGATGACAAAGCCTATCCCTGGATTTATAACAAATATGCACCTACTTGTTGGCTACCCTCTTTATCAGTCAGAATTCCAATGTGGAACTGGCAGATGTCCAAGCACTACGTTAGAGTTAAATGTATTTTAAAACTACAAAACAGTACATTTCTTTAATACAGAATATGCAATAGGAAACCAGAGAGACTACAGCTTGAGGGTAAAATTTCAAAAAAAAAAGGAAAAAGAAAAAAAAAAGCTTTCACTAGGGTTAATGCTGTTAAATTAAAGTACATGTTAGTACATAATTCCTTTTTGTCCACAGAATCATTAGGAACTTTTGCTGCTGAGCTGTATAAATTAGTACCAACATGACAAATCTTTGTTAGAAGATAATGACAGCTCTATTAATATTTCCAACACCTCACCCTCCTGAGCTTGGTGAAAGAATAACTTACACTTGGAATGTCTCTCTTGGCAATGAGAGGGAAGTGGTAACCTAATCTTATAGCTGGAAAAAAGACCAGACTGCAACTTTCAGTCACACAGCCACCACCTAAATTCAGGGAAATTTTGTACTCTGGTGTGTCTGGTGGCTTCTGCCCTTGGCAGGTGTCCCACAGCCCCTTTCTGAGCTTACAGAGAGTTAACTATTACAGATACGGAGAGAGAAGGGATTGGGGCAAGTTGTGAGCCTGCCCCTGATGCAAGCATGAGTTGCGGTGCACACATGGGTCGGCACTGGGGAGCTCAGGTGTGTCCTGGGTCCACTTGTTCAGACAGAGAATCACCAAGATCAAGCTCTGATGCCACACAAGTCCAGAGGAGCTAAGGAACATGTGTGTATGCGTTACAAATATAAGCTTACTTTTCTACAGTAGCTTTAACTCCAGGTACACTCTTCAAAAGCACCATGAACTGCTAAATTACACAACTATTCCATTCCAAACAATATCAGATAACACATTTACTTCTTTGTTACATTACACAGAATGGTAGAGCAGAAGGTGCACGCTGCAAACACTGGGGCTCAGCTCAGACCTAACCTTGTAGTTCTCCGATCTTCTGATATTTACGACCTGATATTGCAGCAAGTAGCAGCAAGTGCCACTGAGAAGAAACTTAGCACACAGTGAGATGGTTTTTCAGAATAACGTACCTAACCGATTTTCAAAACACATCTGAGCTGTGAATAGATTGACTATCTCTAGACTCTTACCACCTTTCATTGCAGAATTCACTAGAGGCATGACTGGAAATTATTAAAATCCGTAATATGTTCCTTGTTCTCTTACCTGCTTCCTGGAAGATAATGTTCACTGTGCAATGTCCCGTTTTGGTGGAAAATTTAAAAATAACGCACATTTTGGATTTAATTCTTTTGGTTAGGACAGAGAATTAGGCAGCTTGGGAAAGAAGAGAGAGTCAAAGAGAAAAACATTTTAGCTTCTATCTGCTAACAATGACCTGAATCTTTCTAAAGCTAAACCCAAATCTTCCCTTTTTTTTTTTTTTGAAGAGGTCTCTTCTCTGAAATGTTACTTGTTTTTCAGCTGCTAGGTCAGGTTTCTATCCCTGGGGGATGTCTAGTCTTCAATTTAGAAAGTTCAGTCTCAAGCAGTGCTTGAGAGAATGAAGACCCTGAATTTGGAGTCTCCAACATGTTGGGATATATCTCAAAATTCAGTTCTTGGAAGTAGTTTCTGAAGATATATCCATTGTAATATTAATCGTACTAGGCACAGCACGTCAAAAGAATTGTAACCAGACAGTCAAACTAGTGACATGGGGAGATGCAGGTCTCCAGCGCTAGCCTTTCTGGCAGAGCCCAGAGAGCTTGAGAGCACCAGAACAAACAGCATAAAATTTGATGCAGTATTGGCTTTAATCCTGAAAATTTATACCACTGTTTTAATGCAAGGCAAAGCACTTTCTCACTAGGTAGACTTTAAGAACCTATCAGATCTGGTACAGACAGTCTAAGCTGTGTATATATTTGTTTTCTACAGAGGGTGTAACAGACAATACCTGAGATCTGAAGAACACTTTTCCAAACAATAAATAATCAATATCTAGCATTCAGCAACATCCGGCATTGCCACTTTCTGAAGATTAGTTGTTCTCTAATGACAACTAATGCCATGGAATTGGCAGGTTGTACTGTTAGTGCCTTTACCAAGGCAGAAAATGTAACTTGGTTCTTCTCACATGAACGTCCTTTGAGCTTTCAGCACCTCACCCAGAGTTTGGCATCAGTTCAACCGGACATGGAGCATTAGAAAGGTGTCCAGCCAGATAGGCTATCTGGGAGCAAATGCTTGGGGAGATGCTTTATGCTAAAACAGGCACAGGTTCTAACTGCCTGTGCTGCCAGCAGGCTGAGGGGCCTGAACCCTGCGGCGCCGCGAGGCCGGGAACGGCCCTGCGCACCGCGAGGCCCGGGGCGGCCTGACCGCTGCGCTGCTGCTGCCCTCTGGGGAAGCAGCTCCCACACGCGGCTCCGGACGGCCCCTCACAAAAATTCAGTCTCTCTCCCTATCACACCAGATGTTGGAAATATTAATTTCCCTAAGAAATAAAGAACTCATAACTAGGAACCCCCTAGGGAGATACTGTACTCTAGGCAGTACATTCTCCTGATTAATGTTAATTTGGCCTCAAGGGCGAACCAAAAGCTCCTCTTTTTTTTCTCTCTAGGCTAAAACAGCCTCTAGATTGACCGTGACCAACTTCTCCCTCTCGTCGTGAGTGTGTGTTGCCAAGTATGCCACATCTGGCTGCCTTCTGATGTTCCTAATAGCCCTGAATACCCGCTGCAGATACGTACTCACAGGCACCATTTCCAGTTTATTCCCATTAATTTTATAACCAAATGCATTATTTAGACTCGAGAGATTAGGAGTAGATTTTACCATCTGGAATTAAAGACTAGAGCAGTCGATGCACGGACATTGTGCATCGTCCAGGGCCTGCCACAAGGCCGCACCGACACCCAGCCCCTGCAGTTAGGCAATTTAAGGGGCCTCAGACTAGGCTACGTAGCAAAGATTAAAGGGGTAACACTGTCTTACACATCTGCAAAATGGAAAGCAAAGTGATGGTAGCCACAGCGGGGCTCCAGATAGATACACTCTCCCGAGAGACAAATTTCACTACCAAAGTCAGATTCAATGTACTTCAATGTACATAGGTACAGAGAAAGGTGTCAGAAAGATGTTTCTTTGTCTCTCTTGAGGCTACAATGTCATCAGAGCACTTGGAAAAGTAAAATCCTTTCCTTGTCTGTGAGTTAAAACAATGGCCCAGCTGTTTTTTAATAGCTTTAATGTCTTTAACTGCCCCAGTGCCTCAGTCCTTTATGGGGTTTACCTGCCTGCAGAGCTTCCTTCAAAGCATGCAGGAGCAATGCTCCTTTGTTTAAAGTATTTGAAAACTTTTCAGCAGAATTCAGTGTTAACCTGCTGATACAAATCACACGTGTTTATGTTGGAGCAGACAGGTCAGAGAAATGTGCCTTACACCTGACGTGAAAGGTGACAAGATTTATGGCACAGCTTTAGGGGAATATTCATCTTAGTGTTGGACCAGACTCTTGGAAAATTCTATGTGCTGCTGCAGAGCTTTCCTCCCTTCAGTTTAGGTAGCCTTTAGCTATTCTGGGCCCAGGGCACGGCAGACTTTGAAGCAACAGATACAAAGATTTAAATTTATTAGAAATTCAGCACAGGCGGGCAGGTTAAGCTGTCCCGCACTGTGTGTGTGGCTGAGAAGATACAACTCAATGCTAAAATATCTGAAGGCTTAATGTGCAAGTATAAAAACTGTAAGTGGTGACAAACGTATGTATGACTGATGCCATTCAGCAATCTTGAGACAACCCCTTTCTCCCACCAAGGAGAGAAGCTAAAACAACTGATGCATTTTCAATAGGAAAATATCCAGGGATGTGCTTAAAAGTACATTGCGTACAGTCAGCTGAATTTTAGCTCAAGAGCGTCTGTTTAAAAGAGGTTAACAGCTGTGTCCCCAACTACTAGTTAAATGTTTTACAAAACATGCAAATGAGATACTTTGTATGAAAATGTGCTCATTATGGAATTCAGAACCATATACTTAATCATTTGGAAACTAGACATAGCACATAATATTTCCCAACATGAATTCCATTTTAAGAACAAATATAGAACTTGAGAGTCATTCCTTTCCTAACAGTAAAGAAAATTAATTTCTAACTTTAGCCATTACACCAACGAGAGGTATTGAAACTGCTTGTTAACTCATTAATCTAAATGGAGGGGCCCAGGAGCAAAGTCCCTGTTCGGAAGGGCCGGTCTGCCCTCCCGGTACCTGCACCCGCCAGCGCTGGTTTCGCTGCCCGCGCAGCAGCACGGCCCACGCTGCCGCAGCTGCCCTTTACGAACTGAGGGGCATGAAGGGAAGGAAGGAGCTGCTAACCGGGTAACACCTTTCTGAGAACACCACGCTCCTGGGGCACGTGCACTTTAACGCCCGACAGCTGCTCCAGGCAAAGCGACCGCCCTGCGCCTCTCCGTGAAGCGTGTCGGAGCGCTCAGCAGGACGTCCCGCATGAACGTGGGACGAGTAACTCAGAGCATCAGCAAAAAATACAGCGATACAAAGACCCCAAGGGCACAGCAAACAAGAGCTCCTTTTGCTAGTGCAATACATCCACCAATATTGAGTGGTATCTCCAAACTGTAAATGAATACTGGTGCATACTAGACAGGGAGCATACTTGCATATATCGAAGCTAGTAGGTAAATAATATTATATTATATACTAACATATTACAATATTAATATCACTTAGTCTTACAACACTAATATCACTTAATCTACTGGTTAAATATTAATATCACTTAGTCTTACAACATTAATATCACTTAATCTTAATAAAGTTACAGACTTAAAACAGACTTAAAACTTATTTTCATAGCTATGTGGCATATTCTTATCCGGTATCAGAGGTAATCTCGGAATTATTGTGAAAGCTCAGCAAACTCTTATGCAAACTGTGACCGTGGAAGTGCAGAACTACCCTAAACACCAAACTCCTGTTGCAATAGTCCAGCTTTCAAAGAACACTGCCGTATTTTTATGTATTAACTTTTTTTCCTGCTTTGCTTGAAAGCAATACTATAACTGTTGCTGCAAGTGTCAGAAATTAAAGGAAGAAAAAACATATGCATTGCCACTGCATTGTATACAGTCAGATTCACTGCCTATAGAGAACTTCTTTGTGAGAGACAAACATAGGCGTAAAGTAAAAACTGAAAAAAAGAAGAAAAAATAGAGACTTATATAATTGAGACTTTGCTCAATAGAAACATAGAGATCAGAAGTATTTCAAGACAGCTGTACTCCCTGAATTACTTAATTCATTTTTGAATAACTATAATTCCATTTGTAATCTGCTAATAATTGTATTAAATAATATTCTCATTAAAACAATTTCAGATTTTTTTTCAGTTGAGATGAAATTTAAAGCAAGACGAAAACAAAATAAGGGCATTCAGGTTCAGGTATTTAATTAGCTTCCAATAAGCTGATGTGTTTATGGCTAAATCTGTCCAGCTGTATCAAAGTTTCTCTGGAAATATTATACCGCAGGGTGCATTCATGCAGAATAAAGATCCTTTTCCTTTCACTGTTGGGGCAGTTCAGTGTCAACTGAAACTGGTTTTGAAGAGCAGACAACCCGATTAATCCCAGCTACTTTAATCTGGTGATTGATGAAAAGATTCAAAAAAAAAAAAAAAAAAAAAAAAGATGGCTGTTACTCCATCAAACGAATTTCAACAGATCTCTGTACGGACAGCAAGGAAGCCAATACCTTCATGCAACAAAAGATAATTTTTGTATATGTCTAGTAGACATCAAACGTGCCAGCAATGCTGCCACTGCCATTTCTGCCCCCCAGGCTGGTGAAAAACCAAAGAACAAGAGCTGGACCTATTCTTTGCAGGCACTGCTGCTGCATGGTTGGTTTATAAACTGTGCCTAAGTTTGCTATCAAATGCTTCCCCCATCAGCAGTTTCTGCCCCTTGCCTGATTATCAGTTTTCAGGGTAAGACTGGAAGCAAATTTGTGGTGAGAAAAATATCCTCAAAGAACCTTGTCCAATTCAAGCATGCAATGGAAGCTGTGCTGCTGCTACAGCCAACCTGTCTTGGAGTCATAGACCGAGTGAATCCATCTTTTCCCCTAGCCCCTGATTTATCAGCTTCTTCTGAGGCGTTTTCAGGACTCTGAGAGCCCCCCTGTCCATTTTCCAGTCTCTACACTGTGGACCTGTTGGGCAGAGCCTGAAGGAGAAGTGGGAGGCGTCAGAGGCTGCCTAAAGGAGAGGGGAGGTTGCACTGGTGCCACCTGGGGAGATGCAGCCAGAAGAGAGAAGGATTTACTTGCTGCTTTCCTCATGGACACACACCTGCCACCTGAAGCTTTGGATGCAACTGGAATTTGTAATCTGTGGATCCTCCTTCTTTGGGTCTGGATTTAAGCCCTTTCTTTTCGGAAGCGGGCCCAGCATTTGTCACCTCAGAAACAGTGAGGACACTGCAAAACCACTCAAACTAAGCTGATACCGACTGTAGCAGCTACTGTCTTCGCACCACGGGCTTAGGAAAGTTTTATTTTGAAACGTGTCTTTTCTCATGTGGCAATACAGTGTTCCTCCTCAACTTTTCATAAATAAGAGAGTTTATATATATATATTTTTGAAATAGAGACATACAGGGAGTAAATAATGAAGTGACTAAACAGTAATAAAAGCCATTAATTGCACATATTTCATCAGGAGATTCAGAGTTTAGAACATTTTTCTTTTTCCGTTAAAAAGGAGAGTTGACAAATCGGATGCTTTCATTTAATTGAAGCACTAACACTGATATTTATATCCATCTAAAAGCTCTGAAAAAAATAACAAAGTTCACAGAAAATATGCCAGTGTCTTTCAAAAGAAAATGCCAAGTGCATGACTGTTCCATACCTGGAATATTGTCTCACTTCCATCTGTTTTCAAATCATCTTGCTTTCCAATGATTCTCTGCAGCTGTATTTGTTCAAACATGACAAAAGAAGAAAATTATAAGCTTGCATTTACAAGAGTCTCCTTTTTCAGAAACTTGCATTATTTTCACCTTTTCTTAATTAATACCTCAATGTGTATTTGCAAGTTCTTCTAGTCATGACAAAGTATTTGCATACTTAAGGATATTTTTCTATTTGAAGCACACTTTTCGTTAGAAATGTCTTATCTCATGTGGTTAGTTCAGCTGTGCACAGCATATCAAATGGGCTCTCTCTTGGCTACCCAATGCTTGTTCTATTTTTAGAATAGATTCTCTTCTATTAGATTTGCTCTTAGCATTCAGTGCATGAGATCTTGAAATTCAGGGATATTTTATCTAGGAACATTAGGGGAATAACATAGTTACTCTGTGATTTTCATATTGTCCTCCTTGACACCTTTACCTGATTATGTAAAGGGCAAGAC